CGCAGGCAGCAGATGTCTGTTGATCATGATGAAGAACCGGCGCCTCGGAGAAAAGAAACGAGAGACAAGCTTAGGGCTTAGGGCTGAGGGCTTAGGGCTTAGGGCTTAGGGTTTCGGGCTTAGGGTTCAGTGAGCGAAAGCCCTCCTCCTCCAGGTCTAGGTTTCCACGCCCCGGGTACGTTGATGGAGAACGCTGGAACAACACTACTTCGCAGGCGGGATTGGTCCAGGAAGACCGTGTTACGCCGACCCCTGTTGTTTGATGTGTGTTGCAGCCAGGAATACCTTTTTTGCCTCAACCCGAAGTCAACACTCCTAAGCCCTGTTAGAGCGGAGAAGTGGATCAACAAAGCAAAGCGCAGCTCGACAGTGTCATCGAACTGTCCGCACCGTCCTCGAGCATTGCAGATCCTAGCGGAAAAGCCCTAAACCCTAAACCCTAAACCGTAAACCTAAACTCGCCGCAGCTTCGCCCCAAGTCTTCACTCCCTTCTCCGCCTCAGCAGTTGCTTCCTTGTTAGCCACTCCAAGAATTCCGGTGAGTTTCTGCCGCTAATTTCTATGGTTATGGCAGTGGTCCTCCTACTCTTTTCCAACCCTAAACCCTAAACCCTAAACCCGAAACCCTAAGCCCTAATCTATTCCGGCAGCCCAACAGCTTTGCCATCAGCGGCGCGGAGGTGAGATCCAGGTGCTGTTGATGGTGGCAACTTGCCGTCAGGACAGCGAGAGACCATCCACCGGTGCTGTGAGACGCATTGGCTTTTCCACCCTGCCGCGGAGAAAAAAAAACTCTTTGAACCATGCAAAAAACCCTAAACTCCTAACACCCGACACTCTACACACAGAACTTGGGATGTTCTCCGTATGCTAACAGTCCTTCATGACGCCCATTGTCATCCCTATCAAGGACTGCTAGGATAAGAGGGCGAACCCTTTTCTGCCCCAAACCCTCAACCCTCAACCGGCGGGAGGGTTTTTTTTTTTTTAAGGTGTGGCTCGGACGCTTTTTTTTAAAAGGTGTGGCTCAGCTTGGCTCGCAGATACTGTAAATAGCAGCATTTCTGCGTTTAGAGAGGCTGCAAATACTGTAAATAGCAGCATTTCTGCGTTGTCAGAGGCTTCAAATACTTCAAATGGCAGCATTTCTGCGTTGTCAGAGGCTTCAAATATTGTAAATAGCAGCATTTCTGCGTTGTCAGAGGCTGCAAATACTGTAAATAGCAGCATTTCTGCGTTGTCAGAGGCGGCAAATTCTGTACAAATACTATAAATAGCAGCATTTCTGCGTTGTCAGAGGCTTCAAATACTGTAAATAGCTGCATTTCTGCGTTGTCAGAAGCTTCCAAGACTGTAAATAGCAGCATTTCTGTGTTGTCAGCGGCTTCCAATACTGCAAATAGCAGCATTTCTGCGTAGTCAGAAGCTTCACATACTGTAAATAGCAGAATTTCTGCATTGCGTTGGCTGCAAATACTGTACGTAGCAGCATTTCTGACATAAAATGCATATAGCAGCATTTCTGGGTTTTTCAGACGCTGCAACGAAGGGCACTAAAAAGCAGCATTGCTGTGTTTTCAGAGGCTTCAGATACTGTAAATGGGGGGGGGTTGGGGTGGGGGGGGGGGGGGGGGCGCAGCCCCCCCCATTTGCAAACTCAATGCTTGCATGATGGGTTTCAAAAAGATTCATATGCTTTGAAACAAGCTTGCACGGCTTTAAAAAGCGGGGGGGTTGGGGGGGGCGCAGGCCCCCCCATTTGCAAACTCAATGCTTGCATGATGGGATTCAAGATTCATATGCTTTGAAGCAAGCTTGCACGGCTTATAAAAGCGGGGGGGTTGGGGGGGGCAGCCCCCCCATTTGCAAACTCAATGCTTGCATGATGGGTTTGAAAAAGACTCATATGCTTTGAAACAAGCTTGCACGGCTTAAGAAAGCGGGGGGCAGCCCCCCCCCCATTTGCAAACTCAATGCTTGCATGTAGGTTTCAAGATCATATGCTTTGAAGCAAGCTTGCACGGCTTTAAAAAGCGGGGGGGTTGGGGGGGGCGCAGCCCCCCCCATTTGCAAACTCAATGCTTGCATGTGGGTTTCAAGATTCATATGCTTTGAAGCAAGCTTGCACGGCTTAAAAAAGCGGGGGGGTTGGGGGGGGCGCAGCCCCCCCCATTTGCAAACTCAATGCTTGCATGTAGGTTTCAAGATTCATATGCTTTGAAGCAAGCTTGCACGGCTTAAAAAAGCGGGGGGTTGGGGGGGGCGCAGCCCCCCCCCCCCCATTTGCAAACTCAATGCTTGCATGTAGGTTTCAAGATTCATATGCTTTGAAGCAAGCTTTCACGGCTTATAAAAGCGGGGTTGGGGGGGGCGCAGCCCCCCCCATTTGCAAACTCAATGCTTGCATGATGGGTTTCACAAAGACTCATATGCTTTGAAACAAGCTTGCACGGCTTCAAAAAGCGGGGGGTTGGGGGGGGCGCAACCCCCCCCCATTTGCAAACTCAATGCTTGCATGATGGGATTCAAGATTCATATGCTTTCAAACAAGCTTGCACGGCTTAAGAAAGCGGGGGGGTTGGGGGGGGCGCAGCCCCCCCCATTTGCAAACTCAATGCTTGCATGTAGGTTTCAAGACTCATATGCTTTGAAGCAAGCTTGCACGGCTTTAAAAAGCGGGGGGGTTGGGGGGGGCGCAGCCCCCCCCATTTGCAAACTCAATGCTTGCATGATGGGTATCAAGATTCATATGCTTTGAAGCAAGCTTGCACGGCTTAAAAAAGTCGGGGGGTTGGGGCAAACTCAATGCTTGCATGTAGGTTTCAAGATTCATATGCTTTGAAGCAAGCTTTCACGGCTTATAGAAGCGGGGGGTTGGGGGGGGCGCAGCCCCCCCCATTTGCAAACTCAATGCTTGCATGATGGGTTTCAAAAAGACTCATATGCTTTGAAACAAGCATGCACGGCTTCAAAAAGCGGGGGGTTGGGGGGGGCGCAGCCCCCCCCATTTGCAAACTCAATGCTTGCATGTAGGTTTCAAGATTCATATGCCTTGAAGCAAGCTTGCACGGCTCAAAAAAGCGGGGGGGTTGGGGGGGGCGCAGCCCCCCCCATTTGCAAACTCAATGCTTGCATGAAAGGTTCATATGCTTTGGAACAAGCTTGCACGGCTTTAAAAGCGGGGGGGTTGGGGGGGGGGCAGCCCCCCATTATACTATATGCTATGTACTGTAGGTTATATATATATATAATATATATATAATATATAATATAATATATAATATAATATATATATATATATATATATATATATAATATATATATACATGTATACAGGTATATAATTAATTAATTAATTAGTTAATTAATTAGTTAATTAATTAGTTAATTAATTAACTAATTAATTAATTCATTAATGAATTAATTAATTAATTAATTAAGTAATTAATTAATTAATTAATATATATGTATTATATCATAAATTAAGATCAGGGATCGCGAGACCACAGGACGAGAGGACCGCAGAACCAGAGGACCACGGGACCACGAGACGACAGGACCAAGGGAACCACGGGACCAGGGGACCAGAGGACTGCGGGACCAAGGGAACAACGGGACCAGGGGAGCAGAGGACCACGGGACCAGACGACAGGACCAAGGGGACCACGGGACCAGGGGACCAGAGGACCAAGGGGGCCAGTAGCGGGGGGGGGGGCGGGGGGGACGAGCCACACCTTTTAAAAAAAGGAGGCCCGAGCCACACCTTTTATAAAAAAAAAACCCTGGCCCCCCTCAACCCTCAACCCTAAACCCTCAACCCTCAACCCCAAACCGCATCCTCGATCTGCGGCTCTGGCTGAGTCTCAAAGATGTTTTCGCTTTGCTGCAGCCTGGAGAGCAAACAGGGTTTAGGGTTTAGGGTTTAGGGTTTAGGGTTTAGGGTTTAGGGTTTAGGGTTTAGGGTTTAGGGAGGTCTCACCATGAGCCCGGGTTTAGGGTGTAGGGTTTAGCATACCCTAAACCTTGGGATGTCCCGCCTTGTACCAACACTCCTTAATAGTAGGGAATATAAATAGGGGGGGGGGTACGCGGTACGTATAAGGGGGTGAACATCCCTTGACCTACCAGGGTGAAGGCGTGAAACTATTTTTCGCGCACCTTGTTGCTCCTCCAACCCTCAAGCCTCAACGCCTCTGCATTTCCCTAAGCTATAAACCCTAAACCCCTAAACCCCTAAACCCCTAAACCCCTAAACCATATGAAATACTAAACCCTAAACCGCTGACGCCCCTTTCCGCAGCCTGGGGAGCATGGCGCCCTGCTCGTTCATCTCCATCTGGCTGAGGGCGAGCCTCGAAACTGTCAGTGTCTTGGGACTCCAAACCATCAAGGGAGTCATACTATAGGACCCCTAAGCGTTTAAGAAGTAGGGTTTATATTGCTTGTACCCCCAAAAGGCCACCAAGTACATACACTCACCACTTTGCAAAAAGGAACCTGATATACACTCACCAAAAACAGGAGAAAAAAAAAACCTACTTCAATAATGTACACTCCTCCTGTGGCCCTTCTGCTCCCTTAGAGGGCTCTTTGAGAAACCCTAAACCCTAAACCCTTTTTTGAACCCAGACTCTGTAAGTCAGCTGGCACAATGACAATTGTATCGAAAACCCTAAACCCTAAACCCTAATCCCCAAGCCCTAAGGGCGCTCTAGGCAGCCCGAGGGATCCGAGGCTGAGCTCCACGCAGTGCAATGTCCCCGAGCTCATGCAGGTGGTCGTGTAGAGACGGCCTTAGGGTTTAGGGTTTAGGGTAGGGTTTAGGGTTTAGGGTTTAGGGTTTAGGGTTTAGGGTTTAGGGTTTAGGGTTTAGGGTTTAGGGTTTAGGGTTTAGGGTTTAGGGTTTAGGGTTTAGGGTTTAGGGTTTAGGGTTGAGGGTTTAGGGTTTAGGGTGTAGGTTTTAGGGTTTAGGGTTTAGGGTTTAGGGTTTAGGGTTTAGGGTTTAGGGTTTAGGGTTTAGGGTTTAGGGTTTAGGGTTTAGGGTTTAGGGTTTAGGGTTTAGGGTTTAGGGTTTAGGGTTTAGGTTTTAGGGTTTAGGGTTTAGGGTTTAGGGTTTAGGGTTTAGGGTTTAGGGTTTGGGGTTTAGGGTTTAGGGTTTAGCGTTTAGGGTGCACACCGAGACACGTCTGGCGAAGAAGGGGGTGCCCGACACAGCAGACATGAGCTGTGCTTCCCAGGTGCCAGGCGCAATAAACGCTTTGATGAACTCCTACAGAGCCGTTCGCTTGACGCAGAAGGCGCGTGCTGCAAGTCTACACGTCACTGCATACGTTGGCGAACCTGTCGAGACGACTTGAAGAAGACGTCGTGCTGCACTGGGTCGCTCAAGAGCCTTGCAGATTTCGCTTGCTGGCATGTGTAGTGGCTGCATCTGGTGCCTAACTGTGTGCAAGGTGGTATGCTCTTAATGCCATCTAGAGCCTATACTAACTAACTGCCGATCCTGCATACTTGCTTCAGGAACCTCGAAACCTGAACCAAAACCTGAAAAGGTAGTCACAAGTAGAATCGCCCCATTTCTTGAGGGCTCCCTAAGCCCTAATACTAAGCCAATGCTGGGATCGGGAGCTACTGGGTTGGACGGCTCTTTGGAGCTGACCGGATCCGCGCGTTTGTTGCCTCGTTCCCTCCAGGCCTGTTTCAAGGACTTGCACTGCATGGTGCAGTACCAGTATGGCATTTGCAAGTATTGTTCCGTAATGATATTTTGAAGTTCAGATTTCCTGGGATGATGAAGTATGGTAGTTAAAGGGCAAAAGCAATACATGGTTAAGAACAGCATTGTGCCCAGCACTATCGAGGAATAAAGTCAGGCAGAATGCTATACAGCAGCCTCTTTGTACAATCTCCTAGACTCTCCCGAGACGTCCTGCAAGGTTACACCCGTCTTCTAACCACGTTTGTCTCGGATTCTGAGATATAAGGTACAATAGTAAACCTGGACGTCCAGGTGACATGTCGCAGTGCTCCCGACTACCATAAGGGGTTTATAAAACAAGGACCCTTCATATAGACCCCAAATAATAGGATTCCCCTATAATAAGGACCCAACAAGGTACGCCTGATTTCGGAAACCCCCATATCAGTGGTCAGCTAAGGCAGAGGCTTGTCCAGCTTCTGCGGGCTCAGCGTGAGGCTGTACCTTGTCAAAAACCCAGCATTTTCCGACCCGTGTCAGCATGAAGCAATCTGCATGCGCGAGCCCCAGGCTCCAGTAGTTCAGGATCACTAAGGAAGGACACCTGCTCAGCAGACGCTGAAGAATTCGACGAACCATTTTTTTTTCTGCAGTAGGTCTCCTCACCACTGCCTCGCCCTTCTTCCCCAGCAGGCCAAAACCCTTTTGTACAGCAGGCCTACCCTAAACCCTAAATCCGAAACCCTAAGTCCTAGACCCTAACCCCCAACCTTCGCCTTGTCGTACGTGGCCTGAAACGAGGAGTGGGCTTTTGGCCGACGGCGCAGCTGTCCGGGTTAGGGCTTGGAAAAGCCACGAAACTTGGTATTCTCGAATTCTGTTATATCTTAGAATTGCATATCTAGGTATGTATATGTCTATATGTGTATGTGTATGTGTATGTGTATATGTATACGTATATGTATATGTATGTGTATGTGCATACAAACATGCATTCGTAAGTGTAACATATAAAACATCCTTGCAAGATTCTACGACCCAGCACCCTGAGGATCCTGAATCCGCGCAATCAAAGCAGGCACAGGCCGTACGGGACGAAGAACAAGAAGGTCACGCGGAGCCACCGTACCAGCACCATCCCCCCCCCCCCCCCCCCCCCCAGAACCTTGTGTTTCATATTCCCCTGGGTTGAAATAAATAAAATATATATATATATATATATGTATATAAGCAACCGAGAACAATAACAGTGATAACAATAATAATAATCTCCCTCTTTCTTTCTCATATAGTAATGATAGCAACACTTCCTAACAGAGCTATAAGGGTTAGGGTTTAGGGTTTAGTCGTACCCCGTTGTTGCTCGGGGCTGCTGCCGAGCTGTACACATTGCCCTGCTTGTAGTTGTAATGGCCTTATCACCTTTCCTTGCTAGGCCAGTGGCCCCTAAACCCTAAACCCTAAACCCTAAATCCTAAATCCTACAGCAGAAGCAAGAAGTGCCCTCCCGCCCCCCTGCGTCGGTCTGCCTGGAGACGTTTTTCAACGAAACATCCACGTGGCCTAGGCTTGGTTGTTTCAGAGGCATGCTTAGGGTTTAGGGTTTAGGGTTTAGGGTTTAGGGTTTAGGGTTTAGGGTTTAGGGTTTAGGGTTTAGGGTTTAGGGTTTAGGGTTTAGGGTTTAGGGTTTAGGGTTGCTTTTTGCCACCCGCCTAGCTGACACCCTGGCCACGTTGCAGGGACTAGTTCCGGAAATACTGCGTCGGTTTAGGGTTTAGGGTTTAGGGTTTATAGGGTTTAGGGTTTAGGGGATGCCTGACTGAGAAGTTTTGGGGGTCTCTGGCCCCAGCTGATCGGCTCACAGGAGGGACATGGGGCCGCCGGAAAGCCCACCTCGCCTCCTCTAACCCTAAACCCTAAACCCTAAGCCCCTAAACCCTAAACCCCACTCCCCCTCCCAACCCAACCAAACTCAATCCTTGCTGAGACCAGCGCACTCCGAAAAGCCGACATCCGTGGGACTTGAACCTGCTTTATGCTAATCGGCACTTAACACTGACAGAAAAAATAGCAATTATAGTAATAAGAGTAAGAATAGTAATCAAAGTAATGATAGTAATAATAGCAATAATAGTAATAATACAAATAATAGTAATAATACAAATAATAGTAATAATAGTAATAATAGTAATAATAGTAATAATAGTAATAATAGTAATAATAGTAATAATAGTAATAATAGTAATAATAGTAATAATAGTAATAATAGTAATAATAGTAATAATAGTAATAATAGTAATAATAGTAATAATAGTAATAATAGTAATAATAGTAATAATAATAGTAATAGTAATAATAATAATAGTAATAATAGTAATAATAGTAATAATAGTAATAATAGTAATAATAGTAATAATAGTAATAGTAGTAATAATAGTAATAATAGTAATAGTAGTAATAATAGTAATAATAGTAATAATAGTAATAATAGTAAAAATAATAAAAATCGTAATAATCTTAATAATAGTAATAATAGTAATAATAAAACTAATAGTAGTAATAGAAAGTAACAGAGTACTATGCTAATAGGCTTAGCACTGATAGCTGTTGCAGCACAAGACTGAGCAGAGAGATGCTCATTGAGTTGTTACTTGCATCCCCTTTGCACGGCGACCACCACTGTCTTCTGAAACAGCATTGATTGAGATGAGCTGATGACTCCTGCCAAACCATCACGCACATGTCTCGTCTTCCTACAGCTGCGTACTGCGAGACCAAGCATGGAGTATAAACACGCAACGCAGACTTTTTGAGAATGGCCGGCTGCTCGCCCAACGGGAAGCCGCCCAGCACCTGCATGTAAGCATGTTGCCGCGAAGGCATATGGTGGTTTGAAAATATCAGGGTCCCTTGATTTATTTTTTGAAAAAGTATGATTCCTGTATAGTAAGGCCCCCAATAAGGTACCCCTAATTTCGGAAACCCCCATGTGTCCATCTGTGTGCCCATGGAAGGGGGGCACGGAAAGATCAAGGTCCGACAACTCAAAGACGTCTTCCGGGAGATCCTTGCAAATACCTGGCTGGAAGCACCCAGGCAAATGCGCGACGAGAAGCTGTAGACAACTCTGGGCATCTCTGTCAACCCCTAAACCCTAAACCCTAAACCCCAAACCCTAAACCCTATACGGGGGGACAACCAAGGAAGGAAATCAACTCCCCTAATCGCCCTGATCTTATATTTCCCAGATCGAACCAAGAAACAACCAAGAACACGGATAAGAGCAACCCAGGGGGGAAGGAAAGGGGGAAGGAACCCACACCCTTACCAAACCCTAAGAACCCAGGCACTTCTTTTTGAACTTGTGGCTTTCTGTTCAAGCCCATCTTGAGCCAAATACGATTACCGGGTTCATTAACCCTTCCAACTTCCAACACTAACTCCTTTCTACAATACCAATTGCAGCTCCGCACTCCCCCTGTCCTAGGATTTCCTAGGACACATTGGAGATGCAGATCTTTTGGCCAAAAACTGCCATTACGGCAGCAGCCAGCTGCTTGAAATGCAAATTGTGGTTTAACGTCTTCCAGGACGGAATTATAGCACATTGGCTAACCTACTACCCATAGAGAATCTTT